CACCCTGGAGCATGTATATAGAAAATGCCCTAATATTCATCAAGGCAGATCATGAGGCAATTCTGTAATGTGCACAAGTAACCACTGGAGGTCAGACTAAGTCCAGTTCATCTGTATGTATGATTTAAGACCTGAATGTAAATCTTAATACCACTTGGCATGCCTAAGGAAAACTGTCACAAAACTCAAAAACAAAGACTTCACTAATACCACTGATATTGAAACACATGATGTTTTGATTTGTGATCTTGATTTAAAACAATTCTATTCAGCTGTCAGAACTACCATGATATAGTGTCCTATAGTGTCCTCTGCTGGAGCAATTAGTTAATAGCAGGATTCTTCAGCACACACGGGTATGTCTACACAAGACTTTACTGCGGAGTTTCCTAATTAGCTCGGCAGTAAACATCTCAGCATCTATACATGCAGTGCTATTAGGCCTCAGGAAACTAATTAACTCCACAGCAGGATAGTACTTGTAAACACAAATTTTTTTACTCCACAGCAACACATATGTAGATGTTGATGGGACTGGCTAGGGCACAAGGGTGTGGGGGCTGCCTACCAGCTAGCACCCAAACTGAAGCACCCTTGTGTCCCAGCCAGCCCCTCTGCAGGCCATTGAGCTGGGTCAGAGCAGCCCCATGCTGGCAGGCTGACCTCCCAGACCTCCGGCTAGCCAGAGCTACTCCAACCTGGCTCAATGTGCTGCAGTCCTGGGCGCACATTCAAACAGGGTGCCCAAGACCAATAAACTCCTGTGCAATATCACCAGACTTTACTGCTGTGCATTAATACCACATGTAAATGTGCCCATTAAGTAGCAGATATAAATACCCCTCCTTGGCCTGTCAGCCCAACAGGAACATGTTCCAGTTTGTCTATGAGTCCAACTGCTGAAAATGTTTTCATTAAGAAAAACACTCCATGCCATCAACAAAAAAAATCAATATTGTAGATTAATGTGTTCCCTTTGCTCAAAGAAATAGCTTTGTATTTTACGATTTGTTTTAAAACAGCATAAGGATTCCCTTTATTTACTGAACCCATAGTTTGTACATGTTTAAACAGTGTATCTGGGGCCTACTTCGAGTGGGTACCTGAATACTTGTGTATCCCCCCAAATAGCTCCCCTCATCAACCCTCGAACCTGCATTATAAACATGCATGAACAGAAAACGGAATCCCTGGAATGACATAGCTCTTAACACTAACCCACAATCTTTCTTCCTCCATTCTGCCAAATAGGTTGATGGAGTAAAAATGCTGAGGGGAAGGATAGTAATTGCCTCCTAAAGCTTCCTTTATTCTTTGGATCCACAACTAGGATTGGGGCTTCATTGTGCTAAGTCTTACAGAAAGACAGGGCTCCTGGCCCAAAAGAGCTAAACTATCTATTCTGAAACAAGACCCAAGCAAACACCAGGAGGGAAGGAGCGGAGGAACCATTACCCAACACCGCCTCCCCCCGAGGCTACGGTTCCAGGACATCCTGCTTTACCCAAGAATAAGATGACACAGCAGAACTGCGCCATGCCATCTTCCCCTCATCTTAAATACCTGACTGCAGCCCAGGTCCTAGTGCACTGCAGCGCCCCAGCACCCGGGAGGGCTAGTGGAGTCGCCAACGACCAGAGAAGGCAGAAGAGGAATGACCCTGCCCGTGTAGGGGTGCCGGGGAGGGGACAGCCTAGGGCAGCGGCCACGTCCCAGGGCGCGGAGCAGCGGGACAAGCGGCGCCCGGCGATGGCTGTTCCCGGGCAGCAGCGGGCCGGGCCGCTCCTGCAGCGAGCCAAGGGGTCGCTGGACCCCGCGCACCTCCGCCGGCCGCGTCACCGACACCCCAGCACCGACCGCGAAGCAGCCCGGGGAGGCGGGATGTCGCCCGGGCTTGCAGGTCCCCACAGCCAAAGGCTTTGCCCGGGACGGATCCGCCCAGCAAACGCCACCGCCGGGA